GCTTCTGAGGGATTTCAATAACATTTCTAAATTTTAATTTCTGTCACTAAAATCCTTAATTACTTTGGTTTATGTAGTTAATTTATCACATCATGTCTCACAACAAGCTCCCCTAAAAATAAAGAAAACCTGATTCACTTATGATAATTTTAAATGTAGCACTTCAGTAGTATCAGTTAATTGTTTCTTAGGAAAAAGAAGCAGTTGAGTATGAGGATTATATACGCCCATTCAATTTAAATACAAGTGTAGAAGCCAAAATAAAATACTGAGATAGGATCTTGATATTCGATTCTTATCTATATAAATTGATGAATTTAAATTTTTTTTTTATATATATATAAAAGTGATTAAAGACAAATATATACACAATATATATGAGTTTCGAAAGTGAAAAGGGATCTTTGTGAAGTGAAAGAGATAAATCATAAACTATAAAGTCAAGTCCCCCATCCCAGAAAGGTGAAAATAAGACAAAGTAATTACAATAATGCATAATATATCAGTTTAAAATAAATTAAAGCCCTAGGGATCTTACATTGTACTTTTGTAATGTTTAGAAAGAATTTAAATGTCATTTAATTTGACAAAATCATTGAAGTCCTCAATTATCAAGGGTATATAAGAATAATCTAACAATTTGTCAATTCACAATTTTAACCCTCCCGTTACAATAAACTTTCATTAATAAAAAAATCTTAGGTACATATATACAAACGAAAGTGATCAAAATCTGCAAGTTTCATTCAAAATGTCCACCATTATACACCTCGAATTAATAAGACAACCATGTCTTTAAAGTCCTCAAAACTGTTAAGATAACAAAGCTTAAAACATTGCTGTGACGTCATGCCTTTGTTCTTGCAGTCTAAAAATTTACCTGTAGCCGTCCGATAATAATAATTATCAGTCCAATAATATATTATCGGACGGCAGTGATAACAAAATCGGACAGTAGTTAAAAAACAACAACTAGAGTGAAATCAAGGTTTAATTTGTTTAGACACCAAAAAAAAGTTAGGGAGAAAAAATTCAGGGAAAGCGAACGCGAGGAAATTAAGTTGTTAAAAATAGCAAATCCAAGAAGAAAATGGACTTTTAACCTTCCTCAAAAGTAACACTTTCCATTCGGTTTTTTTGCAAAGCGTTTTCGATACAGCACTGTGAATAAGCCAATTTAAATTCATTTCTGATAAAGAACCGGTCTGCGAATTTCTTCATTTAACGAGGTTTGTTCGCCAATGACCGCACTTTTAAAACCGAAGATTTTCATTATATCATCCAATCAAAATTTTAGATAAAAATCCACATTTTTACTTTCAATGCATTTTGAAGATATCATCCAACACTGTATCTGTATCAATGTCAAACACACTTTATAAAAAAAAATATTCCTTCATCACCTGATCACTGTCCATAGTTCCTGCTAAGCCAAACGAATGCCATTGAATGAATGAATGAATGAATGAAGCAAAAGAGTTCACTCACTGATTTTACTGTTTAAAGAAAAAAAACTTCCTCTTTTCTTTTGTCTACTTATTAGATGGTTTCAATGGTAGAAAACTATTGATGCCTGAACTCCTATTGTGTAATTATCGGACTCCTCGAGGTAACTTTTGGACATTTAGATAGCAATGTTTTAAGTAAGATATATGCCTCATACAATTCTATAAGTAAAATTATCAGACTGTTTTCGGCCCTAACGGGCCTCAAACAGTCTGATAATTTTACTTAAAACATTGCTGTGACGTCATGCCTTTGTTCTTGCAGTCTAAAAATTTACCTGTAGCCGTCCGATAATAATAATTAGCAGTCCAATAACATATTATCGGACGGCAGTGATAACAAAATCGGACAGTAGTTAAAAAACAACAACTAGAGTGAAATCAAGGTTTAAATTGTCCAGAAACCAAAAAAAAAAAAAGTTAGGGAGAAAAAATTCAGGGAAAGCGAACGCGAGGAAATTAAGTTGTTAAAAATAGCAAAACCAAGACGAAACTGGAGTTTTAACCTTCCTCAAAAGTAACACTTTCCATTCGGTTTTTTGCAAAGCGTTTTTGATACAGCACTGTGAATAAGCCAATTTAAATCCATTTCTGATAAAGAACCAGTCTGCGAATCTCTTCATTTAACGAGGTTTGTTCGCCAATGACCGCACTTTTAAACCGAAGATTTTCATTATATCATCCAATCAAAATTTTAGATAAAAATCCACATTTTTACTTTCAATGCATTTTGAAGATATCATCCAACACTGTATCTGTATCAATGTCAAATGCACTTAATAAAAAAAATATTCCGAATCATAAAAAAAACCCTTCATCCCCTGACCACTGTCCATAGTTCTTGCTAAGCCAAACGACTGCCATTGAATGAATGAAACAAAAGAGTTCACTCACTGATTTTATTGTCTAAAGAAAAAAAACTTTCTCTTTTCTTTTGTCTACTTATTAGATGGTTTCAGGTAGAAAACTATTGATGCCTGAACTCCTATTGTGTAATTATCGGACTCCTCCAGGTAACTTTTGGACATTAAAATAGCAATGTTTTAAGTAAGATATATGCCTCATACAATTCTATATGTAAAATTATCAGACTGTTTTCGGCCCTAACGGGCCTCAAACAGTCTGATAATTTTACATATAGAACAGTATTCGGCATATATCCATTACATATAGAACAGTATTCGGCAAATATCCATTACATATACATATTTTACCTATTATAAATATAGACTGCTTTTAAAGACATATATTTATAAAAATAAAATTTGTCAATTATGTTGATATGCATCTAGTTTCATCTTAATTTCTTGAACACTAATTATTTTTCTTTTAGATCATTTGAAGAAATCTCAAAATCTTATGTATGATTTATTTTAGTATAGATTGCTTTCTTTCCAATCACTTACATTGTAATTGTTTTCAGTAGGGGAATGATTATTTCTTCCAAGGCAAAAACATTTTGTTTTAAATAGGAACCACTACAGTATGGCTGTTTCACAATATTACCTTTCTTGCTTTACAGGACTTTATGTTATAATTGAGATACTTTCTTGTGGACAGTGCATAATTTATTTATTCTGTATTTTTGTAATATTGTTCCTTAAAGAATCTATATACAAATAGTTAAAATATAACTCAATAAGAAGCTTTTTCCATCACATATTTCCAAAAAGTTATCACTCTTATGAAGTTATACTTTTTTGGAGTGTGTCGAAATTTATTCAAAAGAATTACATCATTTTCCTAATCCGACTAAAAGGGTGTGAATGAAAAATATACAAATGCAGATAATGTGACGGTTGTTTGATAATATTCTGTAAGAACCAACAAAATCATTATGAAAGAACTTCAGTGCGAGTAAACGCGAATCACAGAGAAATTTGATGAGATAATAGGTAAGCAGTAGAAGCACTGTAATAATGGCAAAAATATTATTTTGTTTAATAAGATCTATACCAGGCCAGTTTGCCAAGGAGAGAGAATTACAGTTGTAGATCAGTATAATGGGAGTTGCACTTTGTATTGCATGCCATTCATTTATTTGAAAAAATACGTGAGCTTAAACATACATAATATTTAATATGATATCAAAAATACATAGAAACTTTTTTTTTTTACTAAAATCTTATTCATGAAAATCAAAATTTAGCTCGTATTTTCTCCATAAAATCATTGGGACAATCAGTAGTCCCTACATGTATGCCATTGGGCTGATAAGTCACCGCTGAGACACTGGGTCGATCAGTGACCTCTGTGACATTGAGTCAATCAGTCACCGCAATGAAACTGGGCCGATCAGTAACCGCTGTGACATGCCGATCATGATCGCAGTTGCATTAAGTCGATCAGTGACCTCTGTGACATTGAGTCAATCAGTCACCGCAATGAAATTGGGCCAATCAGTGACGGCTGTGACATTAATATTGGGCCAAACAGTAACCGCAGTGACTTTGGTTCGATCAATGATCGCAGTGACATCGGATCGATCAGTGACCGCAGTGACATTGGGTCGATCATTGACCACAGTAACATTAGTCGATCAAGGACTACTCTCACATTTGGCAAATCAATGACAGCAGTGACACTGTGTCGATCAGTCACTACTGTGACATTGGGTTGATCAGTTACCGCTGTGACATGAAGCCGATCAGTGACCGCTGTGACACTGGGTTGATCAGAGACCGCAGTGACATTGGGCCGATCAGAGACTGCAGTGACATTAGACCAATTAATGGCCGCTGTAACATTGGATCGATCGGGCTGCAGTGACATTGGGTCGGTTATTAATTAGCCAAACTCTCACTGGGCGGAACGTTCTGACTGTATCTTAAACTATCGTATAGTGCCATTTTTAATTGGAACAGTTCTGACTCTTCGATAGATAGCATCACAGTAAGGTTATTCCTTCTTTATTGACCATTGTTCGGTTATTTTTACTAACCATAATTTCTGCTTAAAGCTTTCAACTGGAAAATTAAAATGATACATTTTAAACACAAACAGTCATTACTCTACCTAAATACATGTACATCATCATTTATTCCTTTAAAGAAAACATAAACGCGTTGGAAGGATTCTTGAATTTCAAATTTTTCTCAAATACTGATACTGTTACATGTACGTTCTTAAAGGTACAGTGTTTTTACTAGGCGTCAAAATCACTACATTACACCTGGTTAATATATACAGATCAGTATTGCATGCTTGAATCGATGCATTACAAATCCGTACAATCTCTTTAACCAATTTCTCAGACACGTACATTTTTCATTTCAATTCTTTATCATAAAGCTTGTTAAAAACACTTTATCGAGAAAATGATTACAGTTTTCTTTTAAATTTTGTAAATTTTTATTCTATATGGTTGATAAATATGTGCAACATATATCAACCATATCAAGTTATCAACTCTGGACCAACCGCAGTCATCTGGTATTGGATCCGTTGACTGGGGTCCTTGCTTAAAAAATAATTTAGATATGGTAATGTGGTGTATCTATTTAACAACCCTTTCTTTAAAACAGACATTAGTTAGAGTATATGTTCTGCCGAATGTTGAGCATTTATAACAACATCGTTATTGGCAACATTCGTGTCCATTGCAAATGACAATCGCCAAGCCGCATACGCTTCTTTGAATTCCTGTCATCATATTCTGAGATACTAGACCTAATACTGCAGATATGTGGAAAGTTTTAAATCAATAAAGGTTAATGAGCTTCTCTGTTTGTTGGTGGACAACCATTATCACATATTTCCTTTCCATTACATAAAGTGTGCGTTTGAGGATTATTTATATGGGATAATAATGATTCCACTGATGTAATGAGAAAAGGTGACAGTTCTTTCATGGCATCACATTTCGTCAGCATGTCAATAACATCATCTAAAACACATAGAACATGCAGTGCACAACAAGGCAAGGTTATTTTGCCATTTTTCACAAAATAATAATTTCAAGAGAATTTCAGATATACACCTGAAATTATAAAGACTGATCTTAATAATTACTGATAACTAATTATTACGATAAATAATTCAACAAAAAACTTTCAATACTTGTGGTATTTAAATTTTAGTACAAAGTTAGGTCATGAGCTAATTCAGAAACTCATAATTCATTTACTAATTTGCAAAATCATGGATTGCCATTTACAGTGTTTTTATTCCTCATTTTCAGTATTGATATGTGATTTAAATATTGGTGTTTATCGTGAATTGGCTTAAACAATACATATTAATGTAAACAAAAAAACTAAAAGATTAAATTAACAAAGTGAAACCTACAAATGTTAAAAAACAAATATTATAAAAATAGAATACTTAACACACTCTTACCATTACATCCAACAAACAGTACATCAACACCAGCAACGTTATAATCTGAATGTACCTGTAAACACAAAAGATTACTACTGTAACAAAACTGAAGTTGTTTTATTCGTGTAATATGCATAATTTTGAGAACAGCAAACAAACATTACCCGTTTTATCGTCTTCACTCCAACAAGATCGACAAAGTTTACTGCAGTGAAATCAATCACGATTTTCTGTCTTTCATTTGTTAAAGTTTCTTTTTCATCCAGTTCGTTTTCTGTATTTTCCTATCAAATAAAGTATTCCATGTTGAGAAAAGTTCTCGGGATATTATTTGTATTATGTTAAAAAAATATATGAATTAACCTCACTGATAGGTAAATTCTTCAAGTTAGTTTACACAGCTGCAGATTTCCCCAATGATTTTAATTGGCTTACCCTAACAAAAAGTTACTATAGTTAACTATTGTAAAATCTCGGACACTTTGACTTTCTATGAAACTTTACTTTAGAACTTTTTTTGAAGATTTGACGATCTAAAATTCATAATAAAAATACCTTGATGTATTATAGTGAAAACTTTGATTTGCTGTAGTTAACTATAGTAAACTATAGTACTTTTTTGTAAGGGTAATGACATCGATTAAAATAGAATGTAATGAATGTAAAGTAATGATTATACTTATACAATATGTACATACTGCAACTGTTACTGTGACTTCCCCTTGTTGTTTCTTAGATTTACGAAGAACCTTAGGTTCCAGTCCTGATTTTTGGTACACTGTTCTCATGAAATGGTCTGCATTAGCAAAAAATACTGGTCCATGGTATTGTACGAAGTGAATTCGATTGTCGTCATCTGAGCGGATCTATTTTGATTTAAAAATGAATCTGTTTCAGTATTCATTAATATATCAATTAACTCTGTCTATTCCTTTAACACATTTGGTTATACTCGATTTTATTAAACTGCTAATTTTGAAATAAATTATGTATTCAAAATAAATAATAATATCATTTAGTGCTTATGCAGTGGTAAAAACTTATTACCGGTTGATACCGCTTGACATTTCTCAAAATGTTTGTTTGTTCCACAAAGCCAGCTTTGTAACCATATGCTCTGAAATTCAGTAAATTAAAACAAAGTTGCAAAACTCAGAAATGACAACTCAGTTTAAAAAGTTACTATGATGACAAAAACTGCAAGACTGTATATGGAGCACTTCTAAATTGATTTTTTTTTCAGATCTTCAACAACACGCACCTCGAAAAAAATTCAAAGAACATGCAGTGTCTTCTTTAAAACAGTAAGCTGATTCCCGATACTCCACAACAACCATCTTGGGTCACCATGTCTACATCAAAGGAATTTAATTCATACATGTACGTACCTTTGAGTCCTGAAGGTAACCGTGAAGATAGAGAAGGCAATCCCTATGACTATCCCTATCTCAGCATCAAGTACAATTGTGCTGGCGGCTGTCACGATCCATATCATCTGAAAACGAAAACTTCTATAAATCTATAATATCTTACTTGTTTTTAAAGCATTTTAAAGTTACGATATGCGTAAGGAATAATTTTTTTTTATCGGATTTTCTTTTTGTTTATTAAAGATGAATATCATAATGTGTATGTGAATGATTTAAAAGATATCGGCTACAACCCCCTTTAACACTTGAAAATTCTACTTTCCGTTTATCCACCATACAAATGTGTCTAATCTTTATATTAGATAAAATAAAATATTGCATTTTTGCCTTTAAAATGATGCAATGCAATTCCATATACAGTAATATTGTAAAATAAGATCATTTATTTTACAGCAAAACGTCATAATTGTTAGATTTTGTTTTAAATCAAAACCCACTCTGAAGAACTCAACATCAAAGCAAATTAAATTGAAATTTCTTCTTATTAAAAATCATTTACTGAACTAGTTATTTCAATTCCCTTTTATACGTGAATATGTAAGTCATAACTTTTATATATATATATATATATATATATATATATATATATATATATATATATATATATATATATATATATATATATATATATATATATATATTCAGATAAGTGTAAAGTGTAAATCAATTATTATTCGCCCTAAGTCCATCAATCGAGGACTTGAAGTTTACATCCACAATCGTTTCCTTGTAAATAATTGAAGTTTTGAATATAAACTTGTGAAATACTTACAAAATCTATTTTTGATTTCCGCCACAGAGAGGGCAGTTCTAAATACTGTAAGAACATTCCACGCAGGCTCATGAGCACCACAGCTGATAAAACACACTGAAGCACGAAAGGTCATATTCTTAGAATGATTTCGGTTTTGAATACATTTTGAACTTTATAAAATCCAGTAATTTTTTCCCTTCGAAAATACATAGTTTATTTCAAAATGTTTGTAAAATGATCGTGTCAGAGAATGAACATACCTTGGGTAAATTGTAAAATAATGGTCCTATGGCAACAATGACAACAAGAACAACAAGACAACCAAACAAAGATGCAACCTGAAATAATAAAAAAAATAATAATAAAAGGCAAAGTCTCCAAGTCCAAAAACAATCCCTATATCTTTATTATCTGCAAAGCATATAACAGAAAACGGCACTCTGATAGTGAATGGTGGATACTCTCGTTGCTTACCTGCGTTTTACCCCCAGCCGATTCCTGTACCATACTACGTCCTACAGACCCCGCGGGAATGTACCCAGAAAACAAAGAACAAGCTAAACTTCCGGCGCCATACGCTACCATTTCCTATAATTCATAGTTACATTGGCAAATCTCCAATTAAAGTAAAGAATTTAACATTTTCATCTTAACAATAAATATATGTGAATTATTCTGACCTGGTTTGGGTTAATATCATAATTATTTGTCTGGGCTAAAATTTTGGCTATGGAAACCGTCTGGGTAAAAGCTACTATCCCAATCATTACTGCATCTTTCAGATAAAGGGGAATGACTAGTTTTAAATCTGGAATATTTAACGACGGGAACCTGTAAGAAAAAGTTATTTCTGTGAATTAACTTTGCTTATATTCAACTGTCAAAACATTTAAACATATAAGGAAATGAAATTCTTCATTAAATCAATAATAAAACAATCAATAAAAAAAATAATCATGGATTACTTACCCAGCTGGTATATCTTTTACAACATTTAAACCATTGTTTTCATATAAATTTGCAGTGTACGTAATGACTGTTGCTAAAACTACCTATGAAGAAAAATAAATAAATTGTAAGTGTTTTGATTTTTTAAAGTTCTAGTTTGTATTTTCATTGGAGATCCAGAGACTCATATTTATCTGTATTACCACTATCAGGTCAGCTGGAATAGGAACTTTCAGTCTTTTCTTATAGCGGATGTTGATATGAACTTTGACAACATAAAGAATGATGAAAGACACTGTAAATATCACTAGAGGTAGCCACTGTGTATCGCCAATATTCTTCAGAATAGCTACCCAGGTCTGGAAGAGAAATTCAAATCATTCAAACCATATAGGTCTCTGATTACTATTTTAAAATAGAAAATAACTCCATATACTAGTATCCTCTAGTAAATGCACAACTTTTAATTATTAGGCATTTAATGATCAATCATAATATAATATTACAATAGAGACATGCAAACAGTATGACCTTGATTATTTTAAAGTATCCATTAAAACGAAAGACATTGAGACCAAATATATGTTTCGCCTGAGCTGTGATGATCAGAAATGCAACAGCCGATGTAAAACCGCTAACCATTGGTTCTGGCATATAGGTTGTTATAATTCCAAAACCGAATCTGCCTAAAATTATCTAAAAGAAATCAATAGGTAAAGTTACTAACATTTATATATAATCCAATATCTTAAAATTCTCAAACATAACTCAAAAAAGGAACGCTCAATGAAAATTGGTTTAAAGTAAATGGAATTTCATAAACCTCATATATAACAATACATTTACTTAGGCAATGCAAAATTAATTTGAAACAATGAATGTATAAACTGTTCAAATATTAAATAAACAAATTTACCATAACAACCCCAGAAACAAGTGATAACGCACTGGCAATTTCGATTTTAAAACTGTCAATAGATGGATGGACGTTTGATCGTTGTACCACATTGGTCATACTGTCAAATTCTGTGTTGTTCCCTACGAATATAGAAATGTTCTCCGACGGTCCCAGTATGGAATGTGACGTAAGATTCTGAGTGATTATAGTGTTTTGAACACTGAAGGTGGGATCTGAGGTAGCATCATCCATCACTGAACCAATCATGAGGCTAACAACGGATATACAACCTGAAAAAAGTTACAATATCACCTAGATTTTTTTAGTTCTTTTGCAATATCATATAGTTGATAATTATATTTCAAATCTGTATATAATTTTAACGATCCGTCCCGCAAGTACAGGTAACAAATTCTAATGTTTATCATTTTCTCAGGAAAGCTCCATTATGATCTCTCAAAACATTTTCCTAGCAAAAAAAATAGTTTAAATACATGTAACATTGGGATACATTGATTTTTAAAGTACTTTTGGATTTCGCTGTGCTATACTTCTCACTTCTTTGATCGTTTTTTTAATAACCAAATAATTTAATGATTTTCTAAGAAAATGTGTAATACAGACCCATGGACACATGCTTTGATGTCCCCAAAAAGAAGTAGACTAGTGGCCCAAAGAACGAGATGTACAGTCCACATATTGGAGGAAGGGAAGATAGCATAGCATATGCCATACCTGTAAGAAATTTGTCACAGAATTCTACAGTTATGATTATGACATAAACATTTTTTTTTGGGGGGGGGGGGGATCTGGTTTTTATATATTAAAGGACACGTAGTTTCGCCCCCCACCCCCTTTCAAAAATTACACTACGTGCCTGATTAAGGAATAAACAAGAGGTGAGTCTATAAAAAAAAGTGTCTATTTTTGTGATTAAATAGAGGGGTTTTCATACATTTTGATTCCAGTATAATTTACAACAATATTTCTAATGGAAAAAAATTACCTCGTTAATACTTGAATACTTTGCTAATCAATAATGTGACATTTAAACCAACCAGCAAATCATTTTATACCTAATAAGTATCAAATTCGATTGAAATTTGTTTAAATCTGAACCTTACGGTAGCAACCGAGTTATACATTTACGTATTCAAAGGAATAAAAATCTATTTTATATTTATTTTTCACTGATGAGATTTTATATAACTTTTAGTTAATCAGAATATTATCAATTTTACATTAAAAGCGACTAAAAGAAAAGTTATTTGCAAAAGTGTTGGTCTTAAAACAAATATTTTCAGTGACCTATCTAGAAAATTTTAATTAGAACGTGCAGGTAATGAAAATTATAGTTTATAAAAACATTATTAAAATATCACAATTTAAGGTTCTTGTTGTCATATTTTAAAAGTATACTTCACAATAAAAACAACAACAACAACAAACAAAAACATCAATTATTATCATGTCTATAAAAAAAAATTATGAAGCCCATCGATTTATGACCGTTAAGGGGTGTCGTAGGACGTCATAAGACTTGTTTTGATTTCGAATTTCCTCTGTGAAGGTTGTTTACCTTGTGGTATTTGCATGACTCCAACCGTAAGTCCTGATATTATATCATTTGCTAAATACTTCCTGATTTTATACGTTTGGACGGTTTTGACGAATGGAAATGTTTTACGGGCACATCGTTTGTAATACTGTTTCGAGAAATAACGACGGCTCATATTCTTCAGTCGCGAATGCAACGGCACCTCGTGTCTCTTTCGAAAGCGTTCATTGAAATCACATATCTTTGCATTTTCTGAGCAAGCATTCATATCCAGACTGTCCAGTTTATGAAAAACACGTACAATAGATCGCTAACAGCATTCAAGTCGAGAATGTGCAGATACGTTCTGATTCTTGACGCTTAGGACCTTTTAGCTAGAGGTACATGTATTCTTTTAATATTTAAAAGTCCAGAAGAGCAAATAAATTCGCATTTGAGAAACTGGGGTAAAATGGGTACACGGCAGGTGTATTATTCATCCCCGTGGTGGTCCCCTTAAACAGGAAGTACACATAACACAAGCAAACAATTGTAACATACAGTATGCAGTTGTTGATCGATGCTTTGGTCAAAATATAATATATGGCCTAAAGTTCAGCTATTTTGATTGATATATAGGCCATGGATATTGTACATGTATGTTTAGTAAAAGACGCCATATAAAGTGTTGTTTGCTTCAGTGCCAGTGTGCATACATTTACTGATATAGTTCAAATTCTGAAGTGCTACTTTCGTTTTCTCTTTTCTTTTCTCTCAAGCCTTGTTTGTGTAATCCATTTACCTATACACCATGGCTTATGGGATGCATTACGTGGAATTGAAAGAAGAAATGAAAAAGGAAAAAGCGTAAGTGTATAGTTTTCCTTTTTTTATTTGTTTGATTTATATATTGTTGTACAGCTGTCATAAATGTAAAAATATATTAACAGCTGATTAACGAAAGAATCATCCTTTTCTCCAACTTCATTCTTTGCCCTCTGCCTGATATGGGGCCACTCCGTCTGATATAACATATAATATGGGTTTTGGTATGTCATACTGAGATTCTGTTTATCCTATATTTACAATGTAGATCATAATTAGAATACTTACAATGTATTTTGTGAATAAAATTTGTGAATGGAAGCCTGGGTCACGACAAACCTATTAAGTCGATATAAAAAGTACAAAGCAACTAGCCTCCATACACTTCTTCGCCAAGCGCTCGGTACATTGAACATTCAATTTTAATGACTGAAAGTAGTAATTAAAATATTCTTGGAAAAAGGACTAAAAAAATACTTATTGATATTCTGAATTTTCTTGGCTGAACATTGTCGAAGTTTGGGGGTTGGGGTCACACCAAATGTTGCTTATCGATGTCAAAAACATACGGCATGACTTGATTTAAGGTACTTCGATTCGTATATATTCATTTTTAACCTACCCTTTTTTGACTTCAATAGTAATATTTTTAGATTAAATTAAAAATAAAAAAAAAATCTAGAAAAACTGCATGTACAATTAAATTGAAGCGAGGGATAGTGTGAAACAGTTCCAACGAAAAACATATTCATGGATCTACATGTTCAATGTAGGAACAATGTCCATAAATGATTGTTCGGAAGTGGATATGCTTATTTGTAAAAGAAGAATTGTCCGTTTGAAAAATATTTTTAAAAATTGATTTGCAGAGAAACTGAAGCCTTTATTTATTCTTTACCTGTTCCTTGGAGGAAGTTTGCATTTTGGAAAAAGCATGAGAAGAATCAGAGGTGTGTTGTTGTTTTTTTTATTTCATTCATGTAATGTACAGCTGTATATACAGTGTGAAGCAATAGGAGATTTAGTTGTAACTGTTATAGCATATTATTTTGTATCAGTTTCGTTTAAATTAACATGGTTGGTAATTCTGTGTTTAAAAATACTTAATTAGAACACATGTACATGTTTTTTCTTCTTCTTTTCGGAAAGTTGTGGCTATCTCCGATTTACCACCTTTATGATGATATTCCAATTACTGAAATCATAAACCAAGTGATTTGTTTTTAATTGCAAACATCAAACACTACACGTTACAATGTTTTAAGCCTTGGTCACTATTCACTGAATATTGCGTGCAAAGGCAAACACTTTTGCAAAATTTTGATACTCTGCAATTACATTGTGCCACTGTCTTTATCATTAAACATATTTGAATGAAAACAGTATAACCTTTCTTATTTCAATTTGTACATTTGTACATTTATTGCCACAAAGAGAACTGTATTGAAGGTTTATTTTTTTCTATTCATTTTTTAAATAATCAACATCAATTTATGAAATTTATCAATTGTACCTGTATTTTTTCTATGTCAGTCATATATAATGCTCAACTGCACACATTTAAAACTATTACATAACTGTTTATTCAATCTTATTATTTTAAATTTCTTGAAGTATAAAAAATAATTGTAATGTCATGTAACTTATTAACTTGTATATAACTTAAGAACTTGTATATATATATATGGCTTTCAACTTGACCTATGGAGAGGACAGGCAGTGTCGATCCTTTTATATTTCATGCATAGGGTTAAAATCACCGGATTTCGGTATCAGACGAGCGCGTGCATGCAAGTTAAAGACAGTGCTAACTTATTTTAGATCAAGAAATGTTTTTATTTCCTTGATAGACAAATCTTTGTAAGCCGGTATTATTCATATCTACTTCATTCTTGAAAATAAAGTTATCTTTATATCTGTTCAGAGTTGGAGTTATATAAAGAGACAAGTGGATATTTTAGTCAAGCCCCGCCTTTTACATGTACTATGAACTATAGTATATACTTTGCGAGTTTTGGCTAGGATATGGATAATAAATTCTTTTAGCATGATTTGTCTGACCATCTTGCATGTCAGTAACATTGCAAAACTGTTTAAAATAACGTTAAATGGTTTTTATCAATTAAGACATTCTTTTTTCTACTCAAGTCTTATATTATCACAAAAAAAGTATGTTCAAGTACATGTACATGTAGCACTGTTCCCACCACGATTCGGCCACATTTAGCGGCATTTATGTCTGTTAAATAAGCCATATTTATCTATTAGCTTCATTCATATTCTCAAAAAAGGAGTAAAATTACGGAGCATAATACCTTAAACCAGATGTTTTCTATTAACCAAGAGGCATCAGAGACAGTCATTTTGAATTACGTACCGGTGTACATGTATAGTATACTGTCTTATCTGCAACATATCGAGTAGTCCGAAATATCTGACATTTTCCTGGCTTTTTTTTTTTAATACTTTTTTTTTTTGCGTGCTAGGAAAACGTCAGAACCGGCGCCATTACGAAAACTGGGAATTCGCCGCCTCCAACCAGAGGCGGCATTCTCGGGTTGATTTTCGAAAATAAAATGTCAAACTCACAATTTATCAATAGTACAATGCTTTTACTACTCACCAACATCGTTTTTATGGTATGTTTATAAAATATACATTTTGATGAAAACATCTTATCTGACTGTCGAGATTTGTTTACATTCCGCGCATTTTAAAATCTTTCAAGTCCTGTATTGAAATGATGAGTGATGTTTTCTTTTCATCGATATTGTCGAGTACTAGAAGCATTGTGCTATTGATAAATTGTGAAAACGCATTTAATTCGGTTCCCAGGTATCGAAAATCAACTCCGATTGGAGACGGCGAAATTTCCAGTTTTCGTAAAGGCGTCTGACGTTTTCCTGGCTCGTAAAATATCAAAATGGTGAAAAAAGCCTGAAAAACGTAAGATATTTCGGACTACGTATCGAGTTACTGTATTGTGCATTAACAAACATCAACTGTATCTTATAGTGAATTACAACTTATTGTCCGAAAGTTTACGGCCATACTTGATGGTTATAAGAAAGCAGGAAAAGAATTTGACACAGCAATAAGGTAAAAACTTTAATTAAAAGGACATTTTTTTATTTGCTACAGAATTAACTTTGATGTTAAATTTTGATGATTAATTTCTGATAACTTATATGTGATCACATTGAATTTCTAATAGCCTGACCAGTGCTTGATGTAAAACAAGCATTATTTTACCTACATGTATATGTTTTAAATCTTTTGTAAAATGGAGGATTCTATAACTTAGAAAATAAATTAACAGAATCTTTATTACATTGTAAGAAAACTAATCAAGGCGGTAATCGTTCATTTTATACAACCACAGACGTTTACATTTCCTTAGCTTCAATCAGAAACGTTTTGTTCCAAAGTGTACATGGTTTACCTCCTTGACTGTCACGTTTTGAAAAAAAAAATCAGTTCATGTATTGGATGGCTTTTTAAATCAGCCTGACTTATTCCAGTTTAGACTTTTTGAGAATCCTTTCTTACTTACCGTGATTCTATACCTATCTCAAGGGATCATTAGTTGTACAGAATTGAGTTTATCGTAAACAAGTCAAGGGTATGTTCTTTAAATGAAGAACCGTAGCTCTATTTTTTTTTCGGGAAAGCCCACAGTACACATTTGGGGTTTAAAGATTTATTTATTAGATATACATGCATATTGGGAAATAAAATAATCTAAGGAAAATAATCAAAATATATCGTGACTGTCAAAGTAAAATGTACTACAAGTTCAGATTTACATCTCAACTAAACTCACTGCCAGGATGATGCCTCAATAGTGGGTACATGTACACAGTTTCACATGCAAAGTATAACTCCATATGAGTGAAAAATTCTCGAGAGGGACGTTAAACAACAAACAAACAAACACAAAGTATAATTATTATTGAAGAAAAATCTTTAAAATCAAATTCTACAGAGCAGTAGGCTTTAAATGATCAAAACTTAATTCAGATATCGCTATAGATTCTCCGTTATAAAAGTTATGTCACGGCTAAGATGGAGACATACGTATAATTTTACTCAAAGATGAACAAGAATTTTACAAAAAATCATTGTCACAGAAAGTCAAATCTATATGCAAACATACTTAGTTCAGATTTATTTCTTGATTAAGTTCTGATTTTAAGGGCTAACAGGTGGCCATCTTAGCTGCAGGTTCAAGTTTTTGAGGGAGTGGGGCGGGGGCACAGATATGCATCTTGCTCCGTGGGATTTTTTTGAGTGATTTTTGAATATTTAAGGATTATGTAAATGAAGGATACGTACATCTTACTTTTCAACTGTAATAATTATGTTATAAATCTTTCAGCGAGAGAACAACAAAATGTCAAGTTCGATACGTTGCCGATGTCGATGATTTCGATTTTGATGAATACATGGAACAGTTGGGTAAACCAGACTGCCCTGGATTGCCATCAGATAATTTATATTGGTACAATGTTCATTTTATGTCATATATAAATACAATCTGAAGTATGGCAATCATTTTTTAATAAATTTTTATTATTGATTCATATTTTATTTCGTTTGTTTCACTTTATGAAACTGTACTGTTAAAAAATTCTGATGGAGGGAACGGTTATTCAGTTCTCTCTTTTTTGGATGAATTTTAGGCATTTATTAAATCTTTTGGGGAATTGTTTGAAAGAGAAGAAACTGCTGATAGGAAAAAGTGAAGAACTTGCATCAATAAATGGGTAAGGACAAATGCATTATCCCCGGGCCGATATTTTGCACTATATTAAACAGTTAAACACATACATGCAATAGTATGATACTATTAGTATCTGTTATGTAGGGATATCATTTAAAACAGCTTTTGAAAATATCTTTATAGATCTGCAATATAATTCGTTTACAAGCGTTTAAAAGTTCAAATTTGTTATACAGAAAACCACCAACACTGGCTCTAAATTATTGGCTGGCCTTGCCTCAGGATGTTAGACACGTAATGACCTGTGAACCGCCTTCGAAGATCATAGAGTAGGCTACTTTCAGAAAATAGTCATCACATTTTTTTTTATCAATGTTTCTATTAATTCTTACTAGCTTTCAATTTTCGATTGTTTTGCATATTAAATTCTTCTAGAAGTAGATTGCTTATATATACATGTACATTCAATTTCTTTTTGAGTTTTAAAATCAATAACTCTGTTCATATTTTATTGCTTTAGAGTGTTGGTGGAAAAGTTTCATCATCTAAAAATGGAGCAAATGAGGAATAATATGACCATTTTATTATTATGATTGAATAATTCCTGCAACGTAGCTTTTTGATTGGCTGATATCCAACACTGTAGAAAAATACTACTTATACTCACCTGCATCTGACCTTCCAGGTAAATATAAGTATTTTTTTTCTATATGGGACTAAAATTAGACTGTTAGATTGAGAACTTCTAAATTGTTGTAATTAGTTAATTTTAGACACCAAAACTCTCCTGCAGATCAGTGTATTCTTTAATATTTGAGAACAAATAAATATATTTCAGGAAAATTGATTATAATCCCAATGCCCAGATCTTACCAATCTAAGTCATAACTAATAGGAATATGTAATTTTTTTTTGGCATGCTTGTCATCGTCATTTATTTACAATCTTATTAAAACAAACAAAATATGCACCAATCTTCAAATTGATATGGCAGCCAACAAGTATATACAAACAACTCAAAGCATTAGAATGAACACCCTGACCTAAGGGACCTGGAAATAACAGTGCCCTATGAAGGTGGCATTATATGCAAAAATGGCTATATATATAGTCTCTATATTGTCTCAAAACTTTATTCTTTTCTGTCACTGGCACATAATCTTTTGTTCAAGCTTCAACAGTGTATATCATGATTAATGCATACATACAATGAGATAAAAAAAAATTAACAAACACCATATCAAAAGGCCAAGCTGTTCTATAGAAGAATTTTTAAAGAAATAAAAATTATTATTAAGTGTGGAAGGGATTTATAGTTAAATTTCTGGCACCTTGCAGTTTTCTTGTTCAGGAGGAAAAGAGAGTTACACTTGAGCATGCCCAGTCGCATGAGTTTAAAATACATTGAGCTATCGTTCTTATTATAGTGAAATAACATGTGTTCAAAATAACCTAGTTTTTCCAGAGAAAATAAACTCTATTTCAGGCACGTATTATTGGAGAAGGTTCATTGAAAAGCTGGTTGCCCCTCCCATCCTATTTGTTCCGGTATAGTCAAATCCCTCCTTTGTTCATTTGTTCATGGATCCTACCCACCCAATCCCACACCCCTAGATAAGATTTTGGAGTTTGGATAGTTCTCCTTTTTAGCTTGTCAAATATTTTTTTCAAGTTATTTGTATTTTTCCCCTTCCTGCCCCCCCCCCCCCTCACATACACCTCGATGCTTCATGGCTGATATTTTATTTTTTCTTTAGAATATATTAAAAAACTTTAAAATCAATACAACAGGTTATGTTTATTTTAACCATGCTTTTCTCATTGTGTTGGGTTGGGACTCCAGCAAATGTGCATGTAACAAGAAAGATACAAATACCATGTATTTCTTACAGCTATTCTCCAATCTTTGCATCCGAAATTTTCAATTTTAAATAAACTCTACAGTGCGTAGATATTGACCATCTAAAACAAAATCTTCCTAAGTGGTCTGATGAACACATCCTTTTATTCATATTTCAATACAATATTAAACCAAGTCACGAATCTGAGAAGTATTTCTCTTACATTAATGTAATACGTGACTTAGAAAAAAAAAACTCTGTTTGATTTAATGTTCTTCCTTTTCTTTCAACTTTAGTCCAGCTGGACACATCATTACTGGTGATGTAAGAATTGTACAATTTGACGACCTAAAAGCTATTGTTTTTAAGGGTCCTAAATTCAGAAATCCTAGATCTTTCAATTGGTGACAGAACATTTCTATTATGAATTCCGTCGAGGAGTAAGTTAGACGATGGGCTAAATATGAAAGGGAAGACATTGATACTCTTTCAGAATCGATAAAGCGTTTAAAGTATAAATGATTCACATTAGAAAATTAAAGAACAAAATGCGAACTTTACAGTAGACCGGAGGTGATTAAAGAATAAGAAAGACTATAACAAAATAAAAAATATGTTTTAGGTAGCCGACAAAGCTTTAACAATAAAGTTTGTTTGTAAGGCTCATTATTAAAACTGGAATTTGGTAAAACTCAGATTTAAATCCAAATCTGGTAATCCAACTATACTCACAGTTCCTTTCCAAATGATGAAATTCTTCAGAATCACTCTTCAGTTTTAAGTCTTTTAACATTGCAGTCAAAGATGTGAGTTGATTAACCGTACCTATACTGGATTCCAAAACTTCATAGAAGTACTCACGAAGATATATTGCAGGGTCCTGTAAATGTTCAGTGGAACCCTTATCCTTACTCCTCATCAAAATATAACTGATGTGAAGAAGAAACTTGAAATGTATTGTGCTGCAACATATTCAAGAAATGTGTATATCAAATGTGTGTTCTAAAAAAAATCTTTCAAAAAAACTTTTGGAAACTTTAAAATCTCAAAACTTTTCAAATAACAACATCATCAACAGCATCACAACATATGACTTTTATACACTTTAGACAAGGAATCCTCGCTATGAATTAATAAGCAGGCTTTCTGACATCATACAAGTTCTTCCTTAATAAAAAAGGAACTCGAAAATTTTCGTATCTTGTGATTGGTCATCCACAAAATTACCACGTTAAATATCATTTCGACTCTGATCATTCTACATGAAAGTACTCTGAAGTTAATATTAAAAAGATGTTAGAGTTCCCGGAACTCCCGGAAGAGTTCCTCATAGACAATATCTATCTAGCCTCTGGAGACCAGGTCTTCCAACAATCTGTAGGAAAAGTGATGAATACTTATTGTGCTCCTTTATTACCCCAAACTGCTTTCATGTTTGGATAAGGACCAATTAAAGTAAATTGTAGGACAACGGAGATGACTTTAGGGTTTCCATCGTCAATTGACCATATTTATGTAGTAATATTAATCTTTCACCTGCATATGGTGTTTACATCTCCCAACTTATTCGATAATCAAGAGCATGCTCCAAGTACGACCAATTTTAAAATCCAGACAGGCTACTGACAGATGAGTTGACGCTAAAGGGATTTCAACAACCTCGTTCAAACTCAGCATTTCTAAATTCTATGGTCGTTGTAATGACGTTTTTAGCAAATATAAGCTATCATTGGGTCGCATTTTGACTGAATTGTTTCATACCAATTGTTAAGCCTTTGTTTTTAAATTGAATTTGACTACGGAATATTCCGTCCACCTGATGAATACATGGGGCTCAGGGCGGGTCAGAGGATGCTTGCTTCTCCTAGGCACCTGATCCCAACTTTAGAATTCCCAGGGGTCCGCATTTCTTGCCCTATTTACAGATTTGTTTTTTTTTTTTAGATTTTTTTTTGAGATCGATCACTGTTCCTTATCTTCACCTTTTTCGTTTAGCCATCCTCAAAGTACACTATTTACCGAGCTCTCCGGGGTCGGTGGATGTTGTACTCCTAAGGTGTTTTACCCATCGTATTTACCTAAAAAACAGCAATGATTGTATAATTTAATCCTCCATCATTAGCTTAATATACTAGTAATACATAAAATTGTTAGGATTAATTACATGTAAGTCATGTTTATTAATGAACAAAGCACGTTTTTATGGATTTTTTGTGTGTGTGTTCCATAAAAACAATACTGTATACAACCGGTAAATCATAGTGTGAAGACCAGAGTTAGATTACTTTGTAAGGTGATTGTGTGTAATGGATTACTTTCAATGATAAACTTGGAGATGAGCATCTTTTAAATTATTTTTGGACTTGATAATTGGGACAAGATTACAGAAAAGAACATTTAGGCAAAATTTTTAAACGTTGAAGGGAGTCTTCAAGGTTGGGTGGGAATGAGGGTCAAAGTTCATGTCCTCAAGTATTTATGGTTAGGTTAAAATACACACTCAATGTTAGATTTAGAAACCAAGGCAAGATACGAGTATTGAAATCATTTTCATAAATTTGTTTCAGTATTTTAAAAGAAAAGGCTAGGCCCCAGAAAATAGCACCGAAAATTATTCAGATTCAAGAGGACCAATTCAAAAGGTAATATAATTCATATATAGATATTTCTCTAAATCATTTTTGTTCCTAGAATTTAAATCAAATTATGTCCCTTTATATTGAAAATTTTGATTTTTGAGGTAAATTTCTTCAGCGAATTTTATTGAAAGCTATGAAAATTAAAACAAGATTTAATTTTATAATTATATGTAAAAGGTTAAAATTCATTATTTAAAATTTAAGATAGTCATATAGGGTCAGATAGATAAATATATTCACTGAACCGTATTGAAGTTTAATGTATACTGCAAAAGCAGATATAAGATTTTCTGCTGCAGAACAGCAGCAGTAGCAATTCTCCAAAATTTCGATGCCAACGCTTTCATATTATATACATGTACGTATAAATGAAATTGGTTCAAATCATTGCCCCTGGATGGGGCACAGCTGAGATACACTTTGTATATTGCAAAAATCTTTTTTCTACAGAGAGACAAAGCTACATTTAATTACAATATGGTGTGGAACTAATTCTAGAGAGTGATGTTAAATTTTGTCCAACTTAATAAATAGAGATGGCCAATAGTTGCGCCTAGAAATGGATATAAAACAGCTTTATCAGAAAATGATGTGAAAGCATTCCAATGTAGTTTAGAATCTGGGTCATCACTATCATGTTCGTCGTCCATGGGTCGTAAACTTTTGTTCCAGCTCCTTCTCATGAACGACTGATTTTTACCAATTTTTGTGGAAAGTATTTGTGACTGACATTTATCCGAATGCCTAAATTTTGAGCATTTATTTTGAAATGTGAAGAAAGAGACAATCAACACTTCCATTAATGCTTGCATTCAAATATATATGAATAACATATTTAACTGTTTTTGTGAGGGAAATTTTTTTGGCGAAGAGGATTTATATCAGGGGGTATATAATTTTATTTTAACCTTTACCTTTCACAACAGAATGGAAGAAGAAAACGAGAAGCTCAAGCTGAAAAATGTTGAAATTCAACAGTAAGTTTATTTTAAAAATATTATTAAGAAATCTGGAAGAAATTGAAAAGTTATAGTTAAGAAGTGACAATGAAGCATATAGTTAGAAAGATGTTATTTAAGTGATATCAGGAACATTAGAAAGAGTGGTATTTCTACCTTAAAATCTTAAAATATAATTTATGAATTTTTTGGCAAACTGTAGATATGATTTATTCAATGGTATGTAAACTGAATAAGAATGTCTGAAAAATTCTTTTAAAATAATGATTAATCAAGAATATACATGTGTATTCTGTTCTTATAATAATTTCCTTTGTATAATTAAAAAAAGGGACCGTGCTGCCAAAGAAGAGGCCATTCACTACTATACTGAGAAGTTGAAAGAGAAAGAGAGTGAGGTGAAACAGCTTCAAAAATTGAATGCTGACTTTCACAATCAGTTACGCTCAAAGAATGTCATTTCACTCCAACAACAACTTGCACATGCAAAAAGGATTGCCGAGGATTTACACACTCAAAAAGACGCCTTGCTCAAGGAGAAGGAGCGATTATTAACAAGGTGATACATGTTTGCATGCAAATTAAGATTTTTATGCTAATTTTTCACCATGAAATACTACTGCCCCTAGACATTTTTTGTCTTGCATAGAGACATCTGTTTTATAAATGTTTCTGTATGTTAATTCAGGAGAACGAGCTTTTCAATTTTTAAAATGCATTTTTTTTATTTTTTACCCATTTTTCTGAATATTTCTGAGTAATTCTTATACAGCAAACTATTAATTGCAAGTTTAATTGCAAGTTATTTTTTGACAATAAAAATTCATAGAAGTATATAAAGATTCAATAATAACCTCATTTTAACCTCATTTTAATGTAATGATTCGGTAAAAAATATAAATACAATTAACTCATGAAAAATATATTAATATATTTGTTTTCTGCGAGTTTATCGGTCCTTACAAATAAACAATTGAGCGAATAACTGAGCAGAGCAAATACGGAACCTCTAAAAAAACATCAGAGGAGCATAGAATCAAATGCTTTGCAGGAGTAAGCATCCCCCGTCTACCGGTCTCACCTGCCTTGTCATGATCGGGCAAATAAACAAATGCATAGTAGACAATTCAGTGTAAAAAAAAAAAGTGTCCTAACAATTTGTATAAAAAAAAACACCAGTCAACATTTTAAGATAAATGTATTTGCTAAAAAGTTCATTGTATCGTCCATAACGGGACTGTTGATATCCTTGTGTCATTAACTTATTTGTCACTAGCTTGCCTCGTTCCAGAAATCATTATATTATTATTTAGGAAAGCATGCTCTTGCGTATCGAATCAACTGAGAAACACAAACTCTCCATATGCAAGTGATATTGCTGTATTTCTAAATAAGCAAGGGAAGTTGACGATGGAAAAGTTGACGTCATCACTTTTATAATATAGTTTTTGTTAGGTTGCCATTAATGTCTTTTTCTAGTTAAATTAAAAAAAAGTTTACTTTGAATATTAAGAAACTTTAGTTAGTATTTCAATACAAAATCTGTTTTAAGCGCTGATAATTATATATGTGTCTAAACACCATTGCCTATATTGCCTTCACTATTATTCATATTCTAGAAATTATGCATTACAGAAGTCCCAAACTTTAAAGATAAATTTCTTTTATTTTGCATTAACTTTTTTCCAGAAGTTTTTCTTTTAAAACAGCACAGTTTACAATAATTAGTCAAAGTTTACTTATTGTTTGAATACTATTCCGATACTTTTTTTTAAATCTCATATCTTAGGCTAGACTAGCAGTTTTACCCTCTTCAATGAAATATGAATAAAACAAACAGTAATCAACGAAATTGAATTAAACGATATCATTATCTATTTAGACTCAGTGAAGTAGCCGGATCAAAATTAACAACCAACAACCCAGCAATTACTGACCTAAGTGATGAGAACAGACCAATAAAATTGGCAGAAAAATTCGGTCAGATTTATGACGACGAATGGACTGATTCTTTGGAAGAAATTATGAATATTGGATTGGATGAGGTCCCATCGATTGCCTTTCTACTTCGTATCATTATGGTAGGTTTACAATAACTATGGTATATTTCTAGTATCTGGTAAGGTGTAATGTATATTAAAACACCATTTTTAATTTTTTTTTTTTTACAGAGTGCATTTCATCTGTGCTGCAGATACAACTTGATGTTTGTCGATTTACGTGATTGCAAGAATTTGTTATGGTGTGATGAAAATACAAAAATGGAGGTAGACAGTAAATTACTTGCATCGTTTGGAACAATAATTTTTGATGTACTTTTATAAATTGTAAGAATAAAAATATGTAATTGTCTATTTTTAGTCATTACAACGGATAGAATTATCAGAGGAAGAGAAAATAGCTTTAGAAAGTGTAACTAAACGCCTTAAACATTCTAGGCAACCTGCTTTCATCGTAGCATTAAAGAAGGTAATGATCAGACTGTACTTTAATTTTTAAAATAATAAAATCAGATGCAAGTGTATGATTGTTTCATTAAGCCCCGCTTCTTATGGATTGCAGAAATTTTCAGTTGTTGTGCAAGGGATGTTACTCAACATTACGAAGAAGAGAAATTGTGGTCAGACATTCAAGAAAGAGATGGAAATGTTTAAACACCAAGATATGAGTGAAGAAGAAGAACACAGAGACACAAATGATAATAAAGATGGAAAAAGTCAGGATCAGACCCAAAGTGATTCTAAAATTCCATCTTCTATATCTGAAAATGAACCCTTTTCATCCATTGAAGAAACAAAAATGTTATCTTCAGAATCTGTCATTCCATTAAAAATTCGCAAAACAGATGAAAGGTTTGTAGAATCGGCAAGGGGTGATTTTTCTATGCCTATCCATCAAAAATATGTTAAGGAAGGTTTTCTGCTAAACAAAGAAGATGTTGAAAAACTGTTTTCTACACCGATGGCATTTGAACCACTATCGGATCAAATTTTGACAAAATTTTCTAAGACAGTACAGTTTGCCGAGCATTGTTTGGAGCTATGTTGGCTTATGCAATCAGTTCAGCCACCTGTTCACTTGGACGCTGATATTCCCGAAAACAGACAGCTTAAAACCGATACATTTAAGGAATACACTAAGAAAGGAAATATAATTGAGTATATAGTGTGGCCAGCAATGTATTTGCACAGGAATGGACCATTACTTTCGAAAGGAGTAGCGCAACCAAAATGATATTTAATTTCGAGGCGGCATTAAAGTAAGCCTGGTAATTATCACAACATGCAAGGATTTAAACAGATAAAGTATCACCGATATTTGTATTTTTAATGGATCTAAACTATTTTTCAAGTGTGTTGTTGCATAATATTTTAATGTGAACATTTTACAAGGCATTTATTTTTAACTAAGATTTTAAGATAGGTATTCAATACGGTAGAACAAGGACATAGGTTTTGAGAATCAGCAGATACATGTATCTGTAATCGAAAGTAGTATATGACACTGATTGACAAAGTTTAAAATAGCAATAGAAAAGTGTAACTATTTTACCATTATTTCTTTTTTACATATTTATTCATAAGAACTGAATTCCTTCTGACTATACCGACCATAAATAAAGTTTTTTAAAAAAGTAAAGAAATGTATGTTGATTATCGTCGTACTGTATTCTTGCTCTTTGCAGCATTCTGGGAAAAAGTATGATGTTTGGTAGAGGATTTATGTTTTAGAAATATACGAGATAACCACGTGCTAGTAGTATGGTATATTTCATTAGTATAAGTATGGCATCCTCTATATATTCTATATGAAGTGTATAATTTTTTTATTTGTAATTTCTTAATTAATCACACGAAATTAAAAATTCAGTAATTTTTACTATACAAATGTTTGTTCGTATGTTGTTTAACGTCCCTCTCGAGAATTTTTCACTCATATGGAGACGCCACCACTTGCCGATGGAGAGCTGCAAATTTTGTCCTATACTCGGCACTTACGGCCATTGAGCAGTGAGGGATCTTTTTCGTGCCAGCACCTACTGCGACACGGGACTTCAGTTTATACGGTCTCATCCGAAGGACCAGTCTCCACGTTCCACAGTGGGATTCGAACCCGCGACGTAAGGGTCAACTCCTTACCTCGCGACTCTAGAGCAGACGCTCTAACCACTGCGCCACACGGGCGACACTATACAAATGTGATTTATTATCCTACTTAATAGTATTGTAACATACAATTTTTACATATAATTATTTTATACATAAAATAAAATCTACGAAAACAAATCGAAGATGGATATCATACTTTGTTTCAAGATAAATCGTACCAGGGAATTTGTATCCAACGTATTTTACTTCTAACATTTTTAAGGTTCATTCATTTGATACTTTGATAAGAGAGATCACTCTTAATGACATAAATCTCTATTATTCCTTTATAAATTTTTCAAGTTGATACATGTATGTCTTTATTGTCCAAATTTGCCCCGCAAGCCATGATACAATTGTTTGTATTTTACTCATAAAATAAATTTTTTTTTTTTTTTGGAAAATCATGTGCGTTAAAGCAACATTCTATATGAAATGAATGAGCAGAGGGTTAATATGAACCTTAACTGAACAAGCAGTACAACCACTCTTGGAAGACTTAGTTGTTTTCCCAAATAATGAAACGCCTCTCAATGTAAGAAAGAATCAATGAAGGGACGATTGGGTCAGAAATGTAATCGTACAGGTATTTTAGTAACAAAGAATGAATAATGGCTTTTCAGGGAGATTCATAGAAAATATCGAACTGTTGGAAGGATGTAAAAGTTTTCATCCTTTTTTTTTCTGTCTTATCGCCCACAGTTTAAAAGAGGTAATACTTTCATAATGTTGTACGAATGCAATTCAGTCTCTTTTGAAGACACCCCAGAAAGCTGAGATTCAATATAAGGAGATTGTTTGCTCTGTGTCAGGGAAGAATGAAAGGACAAAGGGGAAAAGGATACGCTTTTTCCCATGTGTCAGGAAATATGTACCCATATGTAATATTAAGGTAACTTTAAATAACACTAATGTGAGCAACATGGCCAGAAAGTTGAATTAATGCTTTTTGGGGGGTGGTGGTGTTCTTCTCATCTCCCTGTCTGTGAGGAAATGTCGTTAGATATAGCCTAATCTTTTGTATTCAAGGCTATTTGTGTAATGAAAAAATATCCTCAAATGATTTTTAAGCCAGAAGTTTAATCAAAGCATCTATTTTAAATTTCGGAAAAATAAATATTACATTATAAAATATCGAATTTGTAACACTGCCTAAAATATTAATTAAACATTGCCTCATTTTTTTCGTTTTTAAAACTCTTTCACTTTACTTAACAGTACAATTACGACAGACCTGTATAGATCCTCGATATTAAACAGGAAGTAGTCCACGTCATTATAAAATAATGTAGTTTGTGATAAATAATCTATATGTTCTATAAATGAAGGGTAAGGCATATAAGTTTTAATTGATTTTAATGTGTAATTAACGAATTTTTATCGATAACTCAAACATTTATATCAAACGGTTAAGATCTTTTAAGGTTGCTAAATTTATTAATCTACAAACAGTACAAATATTTCCTTATAATTCAAAGCGAAGCCCCCCCCCCCCTTTGTGAGGACTTTTTTCCTTTTTTTTAAACAATTTAACACTGAAAGAAATAATTGTAAAATAGTTAAGAAAATATAATAATTTGAGTAAAATTATACGTTGGATGTAACTATGCCCCTTACTTTCGTTTTTAAAAGAAAGCAGGAGGTGCCACAAGGGAAAATGACAAACGTGATGAGTTATGCATTGATGAAAGCTGGCTACGACGTAAGGTAAGGTTGTAGGGGAAAAAATCCGAGAACAACTGTATATTTTTGTTGTCATAAAGCATTCATTCCTCCTCCACAACTTTACTAAGTACCTGAACTCTTATCGAATTGTAATAAAACTATAATGAACGAAATTTGTTCAATGACGTGGATCACTGAAGGTATATTCTTTATATTTTTCTTTTGTTAGATTACATGTTTACATATTTACTTCTTTGTCAGAATGTCACAAAAATCGTCAAAAGGAATAGAAACAATAAGTAGGATAGAGATTTTTGATTGTAATATATATTGCTTTCATGTACAACTGAAGAAATAGAGTGTATTTATAAAATTTATCTTTTGGTACTAAATGTACTCTAAGGTCTGTGTCTGTATTAGGAGTTTTTATTTTCGACAATTCGTCTAATATTTAAATATACAAGATTTAAAGTGATCTTTTTTGTAAAAGTATTTAAACGGAATTTGGAAATCCTTTTCAGTAATTATGACTCATGGATACTGAATCTTCCACCGAATTGGAGAAGATATACGTCATCAAACGAAATACCATATAGGTTTGTAAAATAGTGTGTCTGTTTAAATGGTCTGAAAAATCTAGTTTTTTCTTCTCCTTTTGGAAGTGAACATGTACATGTAGGTTATGTAGGCTATGCCTGTCCCCTTCTATGAGAAAAAAAATGTTTTAACATGCCATACTCTAAATAACATTTCTTTTAATTATATATAGGTAAGTAATGTTTATCTCTTGCTGTATGTAATAATTAAATTAAATGTTATTGGGATGTGAAAGACTTCATTTTTAAAAAAAATGCATCAATAGCCTCGTGCTGTGTTTGTTTATATTCAGTTTGTTTAACATAGAGAAGGCCTGCAAATATTCCAGACATTGTATGCTGGGTATAAATGGTGCAGCAAAAAGATTGAAACAGCCATTGAGTAAGTTTATTACCTGCTCAAAAGAAATTATTTTACATTATTCATACTGGGTTTTTTTTTTAAAGAAAAGCTTTTCTTGATTTTAAAATTCGTGATATAATATCGAGGTAATGTAAAGTTCAGTGAAGGATAATGTTGATGACAAATTGTGCAAAAAAATATTATAAATTTTACTTTGCTTATATTAAACGCCATCTTATAATACAACCTTTGAAACTTACCTCGATGAATTCGGAGGGGGGGGGGGTAATTGCATGGTCGAATAATCTGGGGTTACACACTATAATTTACTTAAACTCCTTCAGATGCCGAATCCGATTTACATTTTCTGGATGAATGAAAAGGTTAATTAAAGCTTTTACAGAAGGTTCATTTCCAGGTATTATAACTTAAACTCCTTTGAGAACCAAACTTGCATGGACGATGCCATCTAAGGATGCACACTACCAGAATTGCTTAGATTGATTATTGCTTAACGCCAGAACTGCTTAGAATGCTGAATCTTATATTTTCCAGAAAATAGAACAGTTTAAGTTTTTGGAGCAGATTAATTCCTTAATAACCTTCAAGTCAGGTTGTGACTAATTGTGCATGATTGATGCATCTAGGAATGCACACTACCAGACTTGCTTCAGATACTGAATTTGACCTGCATTTCCCTGATTAGTGAACAGGTTAATTTTTTAGATTATATCAATTACGAAGTTACGATAAATCAGTCTTTGACCAGATTCATCTAGGAATAAGCATCAACGAATTGCTTTTGATGCTGGATCGTAACAACAATTTTCGTTTGATTAAGCAAGTTAGAGCAGTTCCATTTCCACATAGTGTTATGCCTTGTAGCGATTAACTTGCATAAAGTGATGAGTGTGGGGAATGCACACAAACAAACATGCTTTGGATACTGAATCTAACTTACATTTTCTGGGTGAATGAATAGTTAAAGCTTTTTGAACAAGTCCATTCTAGAAATCCTCCCCAGACCAAGTAGATGTTGCATCTGGGAATGTACACTACCAGAACATTTGTTTGGTCAGAAATGTTGCCTCACTTATGGATAATATTTATCGATTGATAGATTGATTGTATGTTGTTTTACGTCCCGTTCGAGAATAATATTTATCGAGGTGAGCTTTGTAATCCTTGATAACCAATGTTTTGTAAGTTAGAAGTTTTCCTTTAGCATCCATATAAAGGGAAACACTGACTTTTTCATCTTGCATAACTAGTGATTCCCTGGATTTACACAACCACAAACATCTGTACACTTAATATAAAAGTCGAATAAAGAAATGTTATAGTAAATGCAGTGCTATGTATGAATAAAAATAGTATGTGATACATGTAAAGATGCAGTTAATAATTGTTGAAAATGAGCTCTTTGATACCCATTTTTCTAAACAATTTAATGGATTTTTAAAAAGAGTTTTATTGAGACCCTTCAATATGTTCTGACTTTGAGTAAATTATTTCATATAAAGGTGAACTTACAGAGTAATATATAGTTTATTTTCAACATAGGGAATACAATTTTCCGTTAAGTCGCTTGTTGAAGTCTTCAAACAAATTTTAAGGCCAATATATTTACACTGAATTGTCTACATTTTTTTCCCGTTGACTCGAACATGACAAAGAATACAAATCGGGAGTGACCGGTTGACAAGAATTAAATGCTTGCTTCTCCATGGCACCCGATTCCACCTCTGTTTTTCAGAGGTTCGTTTTGACTCTGCTCATACTTTTATATTGTTTAAATACCGGTACATTTATAAATGGACTTTATTTATCTTCATATTATTTTCATCACAGAGAAAATTCTGATATTGATCGAATGTATTTGCTTTGTGAAATTGAGGATGGAAACTTTGACAACTTTATTTTGAAAAATACACCACGACTGGATGTATACCTACCACCAGGATCTACATCAAATACACTTCAAAGGTATTGTCTTTACAATCTCGTCACTTGTCTCCACATGATACTCGCTCTAACAGATAGTTAGATAACCAGTCATGCTACACTAAACTTTCCTTTTTTTCAAGTTGACTAGACACAAATGGAAATAAAAATAATTTATGATAAGGACTTTTGGGAAAATATCATCTGATTATCTCATTTTCAAATTTTACACATATTTAAATTTTTAGGGAAGTTTTTGAGTGTATGAACAGATGCCTTGTTGAAAAAAACAAGATATTGGAATTATCCCAAAAAATTGCTAATCTTAATGGGTAAGATTTGTGAATTAAAAATGTGCATGTAAACAATATTATTTATTAAAAATATACAAGTATTCCTGGACGGAAATATGTGTTAAATGAATACAAACAAGACACGTACATGTTTCAGAAAACCCACTAAAACTGCACTAAGAAAATGGTTATATTTGGACCAAGAAGTAAGAAAGCAGATTAAGACAGATCCAGTAAAAGCTTTATCGTAAGCATATTATAAATGTTATTATATTTATTGAATTATTATACTTTTTAAATGTCATTCAATCAATAGAGTTGTACATCTATATTCTATTAATCGTTTTAATAGATATTTCATCGACAGTCATTACGGTTCATCCGTTGAAAATCAAAGGTAACACGGGATTATACATAATTATGTAGCATAAAACCTGTAACGAGTATTTTCATTGGATTGCCTTTAAACCAAAAGTAGTAACTTTTGCTATTAAAGCTTGGAGGAGGTTAAATCTTCACCGTTTTCTCTGTTTGTGTCTCTTTGTTTCAATGAAATTATAGATTAATCAACTTTTCAGGATTTTGGAAGAAAATAGGGTTTTAAACGAAAAACAGAAGGCAGCTAAAAGGTAAGAAATCGATGAAAAGACGTAGACAATCACTTTCTTTTTTAAGAAGAAATGAAAGCTTAATATGTAGTATAATACATGTACTTTCAAGCACCATACCAAAATGTACAAGTGTAATTGCATTATATTAATTTATTTTTAAAACTTTACATTTTATTAGAATTGTTCCGACTCTGGATTAATTTCCACGTTCACTTTTTTTCTGTTTTTTTTTTTCTGAAAACATGCTGGAAATGTTTTTTTTTTTTTTTTTTGTTTTTTATTAAATAGAAATTTTTTATTTGAACAGTGATTCTATTTAGTATCTGAAAGCTTCTAAACCAAAAGCTTTATTTGAAGGGAAAAAAACCCAATTAAAAACAAATAAAAATACAATTATAACAAATTTGAAATACTGATGCCCCGTATGGCAGCTCTTGGTCAAGGTTAATTTTCTAAGTACTTCAAACTCCAAGTTCATCAAAGTCAAAAGGTCAAAACTGGCTGTGCCCAGAAAAAGGTCTTGTTACAAGAAATGAACTTTAACTATGAAAGCGTCAACGCCAACTGTTCAAAAGTTATGGTCAAAATTAAAATTTTTGCGGAGACATGCATACATACAGACAGACAGACCAAAAACTATATTTGCCCCCGAATCTCCGATTACTAGGGCATAAAAATAGCATCAAACAAAGATTAAAATTGAGAGCAGTTTTGTGATATACATATATTATACATTGTACATGTAATTACATTGTCCCAAACGCTTTTTGGAAAAAAAAAATAACAACCGTCCGAGATCGTCTTCCATTGCTTGTATTCTAGTAAAGCATCAATATGCACCCGTTTCCTAAACAAAGTGTTTGATAATATAACATAAGGTAAAATACCAATATTATATTTAGTTCCTTCAAAATTTTAACGGCAAATAAATGGCCAAATTTGATCATTTTTGTTTATATGAAAAAAAGAGGGAAAAAAACCACGAATAGGGAACCAGCTTATGTATTTGAATATTTCTGTGTTAAATATTTTTTTATTTCCTTCAGCTTGGAAGATGATTTTTTCAAATTGCAGCAGAAAAATTTGGAAATCCAAAAGTAAGTATAGCAATATATTGTATTCAAACATTGATAAAATTGAATGAATATTTATTATGTCATTGAAATATGATTAAAAAAGAAATAGATATAAATTTATAGAATTATCATTACCAAAACATTTTGACCTGTTTCATCACTATTTGTATTTTAGAAAACGGGCAAAGGAATTGGATGAATTACATTGTGTGAAAGGACAACTGGATAAGTTGAAACAAGATGCAAGCCGCCTTTGGAAGGAAAAAGAATATTTTAAGCGTGAATTACAGGCTAATGACATTTCTGTTCTACAACATCAGATAGCAGAGGAAAAGGCCAAGGTTTTAGAACTTACGAATAAAATCCAAAGTCTTTCAAAAGAAAAAGAAAACTTGCTTACAAGGTGAATTACGACATAAATTAAGTAGTATTCTATGAACAGTGTACATGTATTGTACAGTTGTAAAATAATGTATCTATTCTTTGCATGTTTTTCAAACAGTTCATTATTAACACATTTCAAAAAAAGCTAATTTTAAGATTTAGTAAAATTGAGGCTCGTAGGAACCGGGCGGGAAGGGATTGATTGATTGTATGTTGTTTAACGTCTCTTTTGAGAGGGCTATAAGGGAAGGGAGGCGTCCATAACCAATAATACTTTACTGTAAAAACAATTTACAATTATTATGGCCCTCAAAAATTTAAATTATTATAGTAAATTTACATGGTATACATTAGAAAAACATGTGCCCCTTAAAAATATCTTATGATCTTTTTTTCTTGCTTGTAAAAAATTTTGCAGGTTGTCCCCTCATCCCCCCCCCCAAAAGAAAGACCCCTAAAGTTCCTTTTTAGGGCCTGAAATAAATAGTGAAATGGTCATCAACCCTCATATTATGAATCTCCTGTCTTAAATATATTTTAGTGTACACGAACGCAAACATAAATCTAAATGCCATGCTTTTGTCTTACGAAAGTTCAACTTACTGTACTACCCATAAGATCATAGTTACACTAGCACCTTCGGCTGAGTCAAATAAAAAAAAATAACGGTATTTATATAAAAAAATAATAATGAAATTATACAGAGCATAAACTACGTTCTAGTGTACTTAACATTTAATACAGCGTATTTCCATATATATATATATATATATATATATATATACATACATTATATTATTGTTAAGATATTCACCTATTTTTCTAATTGTAACTTGGCGATCTTTCAAAACAAATTGCTCAACTAAGGACACATCTTTTCCCCGGCTTGCTTTCGCTGGGCAACAGAACAAACATTATTTTTAACCATCTCCTTGCCTTCACTAAAACAATCAATCCAATAAATGATTGAACTTCTGGTTAGTCTTTTGTCTTCATTTACCTTGTACAAATTATCATATTCTACTGCAAAGGAATTTCCAAGATATACGTTAAACTTAAAAGCCGTCCGTTGCTCGAGTACGACTGAGTCAACCATTTTTTGTCACAAGTCACCTACATATTGACGTCATTTTCAGATTGTGACGTCACAAACAAGGGGGAAAACATTATATAACACCTGCTATTTATAGAACACTTGTATGACTATATGTGTGCCAAATTTCGCTCTGATCTGAATTGTGGTTTTGTAAATATAGAGATAGTTCGCGAACTTTTTGATCACCCCTCGTATATATATATATGGCTAATTTTAACAATCACAATGAGTTTAATATCTTCAAAATAGACATGCCTCGTGTAAATTATTATGGTCAGAAATGAAACTAAAAGCATTTACATGAAATTTTATATCTACATAAAATAAATGCACACAATTAAAATAACTCATCTTTCATGGAGAATTCCAATAAAAGAACAAATTGCAAATTTTCTTCACTACTTTAAAACCTTGTATGAGATAATTTATAATGTTCACAATTTTTCACATGCTTCAAATTGTGCATTAATTGATGTACATGTACCATTATGCCAGATATGTTCTGTGGTACTTACTTCAAGCCAGTAGACAATATGCAGCATAATTTGTTTAAAGAACAATAGTCTTTAAACAAACAATGCTCCATATCGTTTTCTGTTAGGGTTCTCATGTTTTTAAACAAAAACAAGTCTGTAAAAATGGTTATTTTTTAACAAAATCCTTTTTTATATCATATAACATTACTTTCCATTATTTGTAGAAACTACGTGTCTGCAAATTCCTGAATAATTGCAATGTATACACCTTTATCTGATCGTAAAAAATATTCCATGGTTTTATACTAAATAGTATGCACTATTTCTTAGACTAAGCGAGGTAGCAGGATGTAAGCTGACGAGTAATAATCCTGCCATTACAGACCTCAGTGATGAAAATCGTCCATTTAAACTGGCAGAGAAATTCAGTCAGTTGTACGACGACGAGTGGACGGACTCTCTCGAAGAAATAACAAGTATTGGAATAGACGAGGAGACTTCTATCAGCTTTCTACTCAATGTTGTGATGGTAATTTTTTGCTGAAACGCTTTTTAAGTCATAATCTTTAGATTTTGTGTTACTCAAAGTTAAAGTAAACTATATTTAAATTTATTTACAGACTGCTTTCCAGTTGTGCTATAGGCAGACAATGCTTCTTAGTCTTAAAGACTGTCGGACTGTAATGTGGTGTGATAGCCCCAACTTGAAAGTACGTATATCATAACCATTACATGTTTGAGTATGTTTGAAACATTTTAAGGAAATGCTATGCTTGGAAAAGATTATAAAACTCTTGGTATTCTCCAGTAAACGATTGATTGATTGATTGTATGTTGTTTTACGTCCCATTCGAGAAATTTTCACTCATATAGAGACGTCACACCGGTGAAGGGCTTCAAATTTTGAGCTATACTCGGCAATCCGGGCCATTGAACAGTGAGAGGGATCTTTATCGTGCCAACGCCTGCCTTGACACGGGACCCTGGTTTTTAAGGTCTCATCCGAAGGACCCGCAACTTTCACTTCAAAGTGCCGAGCGCATGGCGAAGGAACAATTGCTACCCATTTATTATCGACTTAGGTCAGTCGCGGCCGAGATTCGAACACACGACCTCCCGATCACGAAGCGAGCGCTCTATCGACTGAGCTACCGTGAACGGTCCCAGTAAACGAAGTGAAAGGAGTATACAGTGCAGGGAACTAATTTTGTTACATAAACCAGCATAAGCATTAGTAGCATCAGGATCGAGCTAGCATCAGCATCAGCATTTAAAAAACAGCATTACCAGGATCAGAATCAGCAAGCAAAGGATAAAACCAGCATTGACATATATAAAATCAGCATTATCCTACTAGCATCAGAAAATCAATGAGTTTTAATTCAGTAAAAAATTAAATATATATATATATATTGGTTAAAGTATTCACATTATTGATACATAATGAGATATTATGATCAAATAATTGTAAAAGACACTTTTATTGCTTTAAATGGCAATGCTGAAATTCATTATCTACTTCCGGTAGCATGATGCTACTTCCGGTAGCATTGACCTAATTATAAAACAGCATCAGGATAAGGATTACTAGCATTAAATCAGCAAGCAAAGGAAGCATTCAAATCAGCAAGCAAAGGAAGCATTCAAATCAGCATTGATGCTGTAACATAATTAGTTTTCTGCACTGTACTGGATCGCCATATACGTCTGTATGTCTTTCGACATTTGCCCGGATATGATCTAAAAGAGTAATGCACAGGTTAATTTCCCTTATAAAGATGTGTATCCGGTTTATTCATGAAAATTGTTCAGTTTTTCATCATTTTAATTTTTTTTTAATCTCAACTTAATCTACTACTTGTATGTCAATTTATTTTACAGCGGAAAAGGCATGAAATGCTTGTCTAATCATAACTTTGAAACCGAAAAAATTGGAGATTCATACTTGATACAAAGGAACATGTAGCTTGTGACCATAGATGTATTTGTACTATATTTATACATATAGAATCATTATGGTGGAAATATTTATATATAACAATTTTAAGATGTTAAATGTCTATGGTACAGGCAACTTACAGATGACGAAAAAGTAAAAGGGAATTGTTTTAAGGACTAGTTTTTCCAATTAAAAAACAATTCATGATAGGAGCACACGCGAAAGCCTCTTTTATTTCTGAGGTTAATTTTTAAGGCTTCATTACAATGATAGATACCCGGGTCAACATTAAATATTATGGCCATGATATTATTTATGATTGCAACTTCATTTAGCAAATAGACTTCTTAAATCGTAAGGAAAAATTTTCATTTCAAATTGAAAGATTTAAATTGAAAAATAATAACTATTTTCAATTAACCTAGAAACTTTTCCTCGGGTTTCAGTTAAAACGCATGCATATGATCCACGTATTTCAGTCCTTTTTAAAGCGCAGCACTTGTTTTGTTCATTTTTAAAAGCTTGCTTGTTTTAATTTTTACTGTACGTATGTTTGTTTGTTTGTTGTTGGTGGGTTTTTTTTGTTTGTTTTGTTTGTTCGTTGTTTTTTTTTTGTTTTTTTGTTTTGTTTTTTTTTTTTGTTTTTTGTTTTTTTGTTTTGTTTTATTTTTTGTTTTGTTTTGTTTCTTCTTGTTTTGTTTTTTTTTTTCTTTTCTTTTTTGTTTGTTTTCGTATGTTTTTGTTGTTTTTATTTTTTTTGGGGGGGGGGGGATTTTTACCTTTTAGCTTTTGTAGCAAAAGAACAAAGCAAAAGAAGAAATTTCGTCGGACATTTGAAAATCATTTATGTATTTATTTTCCCGTTGAATTGAATTTTATTGCTTTTATATTTATGTAAAGTAAACGAAACCTTGTTTTAAGCATGTACATGCTATCATTCTTCAGGTTTTGCATGAAATGAAATTGCCGGATGCAGCGAAGTTCGAAGTTGAACGGACCATTAAAAGATGTAGTCACAGTGGACAAAGAGACTACATTTCCTCGACACAGAAGGTATGTTATATGATTTAAACGCAGTCTAATAAATCTCTTGACTTTGTAGCTGTCAGGGTCAAAATTAATTATATTAATATAATGAAGAAAAGAAATATTCCTGAAGCAATTTGTTTTTGTGCTTATAAGACATTAGAATAGATGGGTTTTACGGATAATCTTAAGCAAAATATTTTGCATTCATTTTGACAATAAAGTCAGCATACATTACAAGGGGGTAAGAATAAATATCAAATGATAAAAATTCAAAGAAAAATAATAGTTTTGATAGTACATCTTCAAAATTACGGTCACGGTAGCCTAGTGGTAGGGCGTTCGCTTCGTGATCGGGAAGCCCTGGTTCGATTCGTGTTTGCTGCGCCACGTCATACCTAAGACGTAAACATGGATAGTGACTGTTCCTTCACCAAGAGCCCGGCATTAGAAGTGAAAGTTACGGGTCTTTCAGATGAGACCTTAAAAACCGAGGCCCCGTGTCCCGGTAGGTGTTGGCACGATTAAGAACCCTCACTTGTCGATGCTCTGAGTGCCGAGTAAAGGTCTAAATTTGAAGCCCTTCACTGGTATATGCTGACGTTTCTATATGAGTGAAAAATTCTCGAATGGAACGTAAAACAATATACAATCAATCAATCAAAATTAATTTGTTTTAGAAGAGGTGCACAGCTTCATTAGACATCATAAAATTTTCACAAAAGTCCTTAAATTATTTGAACTCTTAAATTATACACGGTATAATAAAATAAAGATCCTTAATCTTGATCCATTACTCGATGATTGGTTGATGATAATGCTAGAAATTCTAAAAGATTCTATGATGAAGATTAAAATGAAAATGCAGTAAAATCATTCCTGTTCTACATAATGTAACTTACTGATAACATAACAAAACAAGAAGATCACTGACCACAACGCTTACCTGAGAAACTTGTCTGTAATGTCCTGTTTTTCCCATAAAAAATTATTCTGATGTAAAATTTTGTTCCCATAGTGGGGCCCCACCGGAAAACCAGGAGCTATGATTTTAAGAAATTTTAATCTGTACCACCTGAGGATGCTTGAATATCAATGTGACTGATCATGGCCCTGCTGTTTTTGACATTTTGCAAAATCAATGTCTTCCTGTACAGCTCAAAACTTCTTTAATTTAACATGTAAAGAAATCAATTGCACATATTTTGGAATGAAAGATATTGGTACCTAAAGAAAACATGTAAATAAAAGATGTTGTGATTTTATTTTTTAATTTTCAAAAATACTTTTCGTATTCAATTTGAAACTCTCTTTTGAAAAAAATTTAGTTACTTGCCCACTTGAACAAATTAACAGCCTAAATTTTACTAGAGACTGTAGGCAATTTGGATACATTTCCTTAGTCTGATACGGAAAAAAATACGACTGGTTTCTTCATTTTCCGTTGAAAACTACAGTTTAAAATAAGTATGCCTTTTTGTTGTGTTTATCTAAAAATCATGCCCCGGTACGCCGTATTTTATAAAGGTATTGTTAAAGGAGTTTAATTCAAGATTGAGTATAATTTATGTACGCACCTTCCATTTACTAGATTCAGACTGTAAGTAAAAGTTCACATTTAAAGTTTTGAATTTACAGAAATTCCATGATATTTTGAATGATATGTTACGTGATCTTGCAAAGAAAAAAAATCACGACAATGTTTCATCTATGAATCATCAATCAAACCACTGCGAATCAAATAAAGTTGGTGAACAAAGGGAAAAGAATGACGGAATGGATTCAAAATTTCCCACAAAACCGAAAATCTCGAGATCTTTATCGACTGGAAATGTCGTGATTGGTTGGGAATATACAAAGAATACTGATTATAGTGGCATGATCTTATGCAAAGAAAAAGAAATTGCGCAAAAATTTTACAAAAGATATAAAAATAGATTAGCTGAATCAGCAAGAGGAGACTTTTCAAAACCTTGTTATGAAAAATATATTCAAGAGGGATTCCTGCTTGACAAAGAAAGTATTGAAGAGTTGCTCTTGGGGCCAATAAAGCGATTCGCGAAGACAGCCCAGTTTGCTGATCACTGTGTAGAGTTGTGTTCGTCGATGAGGTCAATACAGCCACCCGTACATCTCAGTGCCAGTATTCCGGAGAATAGAGAACTTAAACATGATGTCTTCAAGGCTTACACAAAATCCGGGAAAGTCATTGACTATATAGTTTGGCCTGCGATGTACTTGCACGAAAAAGGACCCTTGCTGTCAAAAGGTGTGGCCCAACCAAAGTAAAACTTCTTGAAATACTCTATAAATGAATGTATTTATAACATGTGCAATTTGCTGATATTTATCTTTCTATACATATCATTTCTTGTGTGCCCATGTGAATCATATTTTTGAACACAATTATCTTTAACCAATGCAGAGAAACTAACATCCATTGCTTTGTTTTTGAAGTTTCAAAAGTTTATGAAAAGGCAAGTACTTAAATTATTTATTTATGTCACATAAACTATCTTGAATATTTAATACTGACTATTTTTACTACGCTTATGTAAATTGTCTCTAAGGATTCAACTGTATAATAATCATCGTCACAATGTGCCGCTACCTGTCAATGAAGAGTGTCTAAATTCCAAACTCTTTGGTGTTGTATCACTGTCGTCTGTGACACAAAGTTATAAATTGAAAAAAAACTTCTCGGTGCCCAGTGGTGAATTTGTATGTATCAAAATTTAAATGTATAAAAAAATGTGTAAAACCTTGAGTCACAGACGACAGTGATATTGATATGACGTGTTGAAGAATCCTGGTATTCGTGGTTTTTCCGACGATTCTCATGTTTCTATCCAACGGAGGTCAACACTGACATAGGGGTATTGGATTTGTGAAAGTCACTCATACGATCGGATAGAGCATTGATGGGGTATAAATTCGGATTCTCCACCATGTTGTATTACTGTCGTCTGTGACACAAGGTTACATATTGAATGAAACAAAACACAGCCTTTAACACGTGTCATCTTTATCATCACGTCAAAACTAACTTACAGAAACTGTTCTTACCTTGAATAACATACAAATTAACAATGGAATCAACTCTGCTATACAATCCGGATTGCCCTCTCGATGATTCAGTATACTCAGATACACAACACTGGTCATGATATGATTTTGCTACTTATTTGAGATTGGATAATATAATGAGAGTAAAACTGGACACTGTATACACAGTGTCCATACCAAGACTGATTGCAGAGTCGATTCAGTTACTCATGTTATTTCATCCATCAGATGTTAATGTAAAATATGCCCCCTTCTTACAAATCTCATAGCTAACTGCAACTAATAACTAAACTGTATGATAAACGGGATGACTTCACCTATTCCATCGTAAATTCTCTTATCTTTGTATATGTAGTAATATTCCAACATCATCTGCATAAGGTGTTTTTGTTTCCCACTTGCAACTGATTCTTTATGCAAGACCATGCTCAGAATATGATGAGTTTTTAAACTGAAGCAAGTTACTGATAAATAATTTAACTGTTTAAAGTTAGTCCATATCATATTCTACGGACGTGAAAATGACCTTCTTTGTAAATATAAACTATCATTGGGTGGTATTTTGTCTGACATGTTTCATACAATTTTTAGGACATTGATTTTATACTAAAGTGCGAGTTATTACTCTGGGTCCTTTTCTCACTATTCAATGTGATATGGTTTCATTAATGATTTATTCCCAATCCTTAAACTTTCTTTAACTATGGCCAAAAATTGAAGCTCTTTTTTTTTTCTTTCAATATTTTGCATAGGGCCAAACCTCTGACCCAAATTTTCAATTATATAATGAAAGAACTATATTGAAAGGAATAGGGAACGCAGGATAAACTTTTGATGTGATTTAATGATAAATTTTTAAATGTATTTTCCGATATTGTTATCAATTATTTAGATGCGTCTTTAATCAAAAAGTTAAGAAAATCTTATTCGAATAATTCAAGAGAAATTGAAACTCATTTTACGTTACCTCCACAAAAGTGAAATCGAAAATGTAGTTTTGGGGTGAAGTGACTGTTTATTGTATTAACAGCGGTTTTTGAGATATTGACGTAGCGATTATGCAAGTAGTAGGATGGATAGTTCCGTCTTGACAAGGTCTCGTTTCGCGCTGACGTTCCCGTCATGGTTGAACAAAATCCCTTACATCTTTCTCTGGGGACCGATAAGACGTCTTGTGGTAGAAAATCCATAATAAACGTGACAAAAACCTATTTTTGCCTTTGCTCGTTCTCAGGCAAAGCTATTGGCAAACAACTTTGAACTTCCGCCAGGTGTGCCATTTTTGCAAGAAATTCAAATTAACCTTAAATAGCGAAAAACAATGTGTATACCTCCAGAGTATCAACTTTTATTTTAAAAATTTGTTGACAAACCAGTTATCGTCAATCTGCAAGTGCTTTTGGTTTTTTACTACTTTCCCTTTGTGACGTCATACCTTTTATTACCTAATAATTTTGAACACCAATTAAGGTGCAAAGTAACCAAAATATCTCCCATACAAATTTTCATAATGTTTGGTCAAGTATTAAAATGATTTTCGAATATTATGTTACCCTGCTTTTCCTTTTCCTTTTAGTATATTTCTGAAGCTTTTAACATTATATTTTAATTCTTTGCCGAAGGTACTTAAAACATTTTTTCTGCAAAATTCAAGAACACTGCAATTTTATAAAGCCTGTTTTCATTACTTGAAATATCAGACGAAACTTTTTTTTGTTTTAAGAAAGTGAAAGCACTTAGTGGCTATACTTTATAATGGTGTTGGAAATGAGATATGGGGTCTTAATCAATTAATTGGTTTATGGACAGGGGCATTTTATGCATAAATTGAATCTAGCTTTTGGACTAGGGAGTACTCCGTCTTTCTACTTGTAATCAATGCAAAGGGCTGACGGCGGGTGTGACCGGTCGACAAGAAATGCTTACTCCTCCTAGGCACCTGATCCAACCTCTGGTGTTTCCAGGGGTCCGTGTTTTGCCTTGTTCAGATTTATTTCGTTTTCTGAATTTGAGATTTATATATTCAATCTGTTCCTTGTCTCACTTTTTACACTACAATGATTCATTTGTACAATATATAAATCTGAGATTAATATGCTTATATTTAAAAAGTGCGTTCGACAAACTTGTCACCTTAGTCAATGTGACTTACAGTGATATATTGAAGAGTACAGCAGATGTTCAACCAAGTCCCTAATCTTTTCTCCTCACAAAAATAATAACTGTTGTGAAGAAAAAACTTTAGAGTACTTTGCTACAACATATTCAAAAATAGATGTAAATACTTGTGGATTCTCAAATCCAAAAAAGGAACTTTAGAAAATTTGAAATCTATAATTGAAATCTATAATTGATGTTTATCAGTTTCGAAATCATGCTTAAAGGTGACAAAATATTACCGATATAAGTAGTGAGGAGAAGTAGTGATAATTATATCTTCCTCATACTCCTCATTGATGTTTGTAGAAAGGACATTTTCTATTTTTCATCAAAGTGTCCTTGTATAATTGTTTTATTTAATTTGCAATGTATAAAAAAAATTGCAAATTCATTTAAAGTTCTTCGTTCATTTTATTTCCTTTAAATCAACAATCACAATTAAGAGATGATTTTGACTCATCATTATATGGACATTGCCTCTCATCGCCTTCTAAATCACCCATATGTTTACACGGTAAATACATTTACGTTCTCTTTCTATTTTGTGATCATGTGTATTCAGAGTGAATTTGTGGGATTTATTTTCATATCCATCATAAAAAGGGATGTTATTTCTTGACACCAAGAAGGCCTGTAGCAACGGTTTCAAAAGTTGGGGGGGGGGGGGAGGGGCAACCTCCTGAAAAAATCTGATAGGCAAAAGAAAAACCTAAACTGACCAAAAAGTGCGGGGCCAACTTCCCAAAATAGTTTGACAAGCAACATAAAAACATTATTAACTTTCCAAAATCAGGAATTTGCCAGGGGTCGACCTTACAGCAATAAAAAGTGTGTGTGGGGGGGGGGGGGAGGGGAACAACCAGCAAGAAAAGGAAAATTTACTTAAGCAAAATACTATACCATATTTTATAATATTTGCTCCCCCCTCCCCGGCGTTTTTCGGGCCTGCCAAAAATACAATAATGTATTCAATAATAATTCAAGAATACAATAGTGTACAAGCGATATTGTATAGAAACATCGCCTTTTAATAAATTTCTAGCCACGATCACGTTCTGCAATATTAACGTTTATTTTAATTTTTAATTTAAAAAAAAAAGTAATAAAAGTACACTTTCCTGACAAGAAAATACAGTAACTATTGTAAACTATATTTACTTAAGTTCATTATAATTAAGTATAGTTTACGATAGTTAACTATTGTTATATATAGTGATAACTTTGACACTACGGAAGTAATACCGGTAGTTACATGCAACTACAGTGATAACTTTGACACTACTTACATTACTTGTGATGTTAATATAGTTGAAAATGAAGACCTTAAAGCAACCATTGTAAAAGGTCCTAAATACAGGGAGCTCCGATCTTTCAATTGGCGACAGAACCTTATTTCCATTATGAATTCTGTCGAAGATTATGCCAAACATTGGGCTAAATATGAAAAGGACAACATGAACACTTTGTCAGAATGGATCAAGTGTTTTAGAAATATATTAAAGATTCGTATTAGAAAATATAAATGAAAAATGCGAACCAACTACCTTTCCGTTTTTACTAAACTAGAAGTGATGAAAGAGTTAAATCGACTACACGAAATATATGCTATGGTTCCATCGATCAAGGCTGGGAACAATATCGTCTTTGTTTGTAAGGCTCATTATTATAATTGTATTTTGGAAGAAATTTGTTTTATCTACGTCTGGAAATCCTACATATACTCACAATTCACTTTCCAAAGAAGAAATTCTTCAAAATCATATTTCAGTGTTTAATACTTTTAATATACCAGTCAACCAAGATAAGTTCGATCTACCCTACCTGTACTGCATTTCTAAACTTCATAAAAATCCTTACGATAAAAAAATACATTGCTGGGTCTAGCTAATGCTCTACCAAGCCCTTATCTTTACTCCTTACAAAAATATTAACTACTGTAAAGAAGAAACTCCAGACGCCTGTGTTACAGCTTATTCTAGAAGTGGTGTAAATCAGATGTGGATCCTCAAAAACTCGAATGAACTTTTAGAAACTTTAAAATCACTGATTTTTTCAAAAGTTTATAACTTCAAAAATTACGAGTTTTCTACACTTTATACAACAATTCCTCACGATAAATGAAAATCTAGACTTTTTGATAGACAACTGCATCTTAAATAAAAACGGAACTCGGACATTTTCACATCTTGGTCATCAGCAAAATTACACACAAGTACATGTTCTCTGCAGTTGATAT